GCAGGCAGGTAAGTAGGTAGGTAGGCGTAGCTAGGTAGGCGTATATATGTATTTACATACATACAGAAATTTGTAGAGCACAGTTGTACTGGTACTTAGTTGGCGCCCCTGCTAACTTGTTTCATGAAACCTTCGTTTATGTAACACCTATCTGGGACATGACATGTCGTTCTTGCGATTGTTGCTTCGCTGCGTATACATGAGCTGGTGTCTGCGTGTTCTTGATAGTTGGGCAGTCAGAGCTTGTCGGTCAAGAGGTACACCAGGTCAGCGGTAAGTTGGCTTCGCTGTTCCAGTAGTGGCTCCATTGGTCTAGTTAGTCCTCGAAGCAGATAATGCGATTGGCACAATTCACAGCACAGCATTGTCTGCACCGTGGCTTCATCTCCTGTAGAAATGGATGGCGATGAACAGTCACAGTTCTTTGGTTCAGGTAAGAAGATGATGTTCGACGTCGAAATGGGCCCGGCCTACAAGGCCTGACACGATATAGAGGAAGAGCAAACCGACGGGAATCAAGCAGCAGATCGCCGATGTGCAATTGCAGATCATCCAGCCACATACACCACAGCAGCCCTTGCACCAGAAGCCTGCCCGGGCAAGTGGACTCACAGCTTGTTGATGTATTCAGCGAGCGCAACTCCGACATCTGCATGCTTCTCAGCTCAGTGACAGCAGAGACATCTGCAGTAGGCAAAGCAAGCGATGATGGAGGTCCAGCACAGCCTTGCAAGTACGTTGAACAATCCCTGGTTCGGCGAATGCTTGAAGCACGCCGGGTGGCTCAAGAATGCAGACTAGAAGGTCCACGCTCGTGAAAGTCATAAGCACGAGGATATCGAAGCCTTGGGGGTCCGAGACTTCTGCGTTACACCTCCAAGACATGCATTCTCGAGACATGGGGAAGGGGCAATGCCGGTAGGTCATCCAGCGAAGCTCGAACACGTAGTAGCAGGCAACACTCGGGTGTGGCAAATAGATTTCGCCTCCACCCTGGAGCGGCCAGGTGCCTGCAACAGCTCCAGAAACGGCAACGGCTGTGACTGAAACACAGCTGTGCCGACCTGTATCGAGTTCTTCATGCACCAGCTTTCTGAAAGCATGCAGCTCGGTGAAGAAGCGAAATGCCAGACCGACCTGAGATATATCCCTGTTGAATCCTTGCTGCGGGCCGTACCCTGATGCGCCGGAGTGCTGCAATCCACACCGCCAGGCCCATCATCACGCAATACAAGGGTCCTAAGCTGGCAGTCCGAAGGCTCGAAAATTTTGCAAAGGAGCCCCAATCTCAAGGAGTCAGAGCAAGACATGCTCACAACCACCACATTTTCAACCAGCGCCTTCTCCCCTTGAGCGCTTGGCAGGTGAAACATAGCCTACACGATGGTACAAAGAAAGCTTTTCCTTCCCTGCATCAGCAGTTCACACTCAGGATTCGGTGGTTACCAGAGTCCGCAATGAGAAGCTGCCTCGTGGATCGCAGCAGTTCTACAGCAGTCGGCCGATTCAGCTGGTCGAGCTTCGGGCCGTGGTCACGGCCAAAGACGAGCTCACCTGTGCTGGCACCTTGTCTCCACCGAAGAATCCGATGGTTGAAAGTGTCGGCAACCAGGAGATCCCCGTTGAAATCCAAGGTAATGCCTCTTGGGTAATTCAGCTGGTTAAGTTCTTTCCCCCGGCCGTTGCCACCTGCCACCAACTCCCCCCTGCTCGATCCGGGCATCCACTTCAGGATCCGGTGATTGCCACTGTCGGCGATGAAGACGGCACCATCCGCTTGCGTGACAATCCCAAAAGGCCGATGGAGCCGAGACAAGTCCTGCCCGACTGCTGCCTGGTTTGACGCCGCACCGGCCACAATCCTTCTAAGCGCACCCCCTTTCCAAACACACTGGACAATGCAGTGGTCATAGGCATCTGCAAACAAAAGACTGCCATCCTGCTGCAGGGCTATCCCTGAAGGAAGACAGCCGTCTGCAATAAGTGTCAGGCTCTGGTCCTGGAAGGATCCAAGGTGCACCCCACTGCCGGCAGTCACGATGACAGATCCCATGCCCGCTTCTGAGTAGGTCACATCAATCGGACTGAACCAAGAATGTGTGTTCGGACCACCAAGAACCGCAGACACTGTTGCAGGCCCTGAATACTTGAGCAGGCGGCAGTTGCCGCAATCCGCGACAAACACCGATCCATCGTTTGCCACAGTCAGGCCAACTGGCCGACAGAGCTGGTCTAAGCGCGCTCCACGCCCTCTTCCTCCAGCGAAGACCTCCGCGTTCGAAGCCCTTCTTTTGGCCATCTTGTTACTAATCATGTCAGCCACAAGTGACAGCAAGATTGATCGGGGCAATTTCGGGGCCGGCGGACGCTGGCCGAGGGCTTTGGCGAGAGCCATGTCATCTTTTGCAGAGGGGGTCAGTGACTCCAGTACGTGACTCAGGTCGTCACGGCGGGCTCGCTCTGCTCTTGAAGACGTCCGCGCAGATGACCAACCCAATGCACTGAGCAAGGCATCGTCATCGGAAGCTGTACGCCCTGTTCTGTCAATGCTTTGCAGCAGCCTGGTCAAGGCGGCGCTCTTCTGTCCTGACTTTGGCCGCGGTGATGCCAGAATGTGGGAGAGGGCCACATCGTCGCGAGATTCTTGGAACCTTTGAGGCGTCGGCGGATGTCTGGCAACGCTGGATGACGTTCTGCAAGGGCCAGCCCACTGTCCAGGAATAGGGTCTAAAGCATCATCCAAGATAGCCTTCAGAAGCCTGTCGTCCTCACTGCGAGCCATGTCAGCCTCCTCCTGCACGGAGAAGAGGGTCGGAGAGCTACGTGAGCGCAGGTGCCGAGAAGACTCATCCTGGCGTCTCTGGCGGAATGATGGAGCCAAGATTCTCATTGGAGCCCAAAAGTCGGAGGTGGAAGTGTCGGGTGGCAGCGTGCGAAGCGTGTCGAGCGACGGCGACGGTGCGTATGGTGGTGGAGGGCCTGGCGGCAGGCTCACCGCGAAGTTGCTCGGAGGTGGCGGAGGGTTGGGCGGGCCTGGCGGCGGGGCTGGTGGAGTTGCGGTGCTGAGGAAGGACTGCAGAACCAGGTCATCACTTGGCGGAGCCTTCGGTTGCGAATCTCCCAAAAAGGACGTCAGTAACGCATCATCTTGCACTCGCTGCACTGGGACAGGAGCAAGAAAATCGCGCAGCAAAGCGTCATCAGCTGCGGGCGGCGGGGGCGCCGGTGCATACATCGTTGGGAATCATTCACTACATGATATCAGCTTTTCCCACCTAAGGCAGGGAAACCCTTCTGCTTAAGCCACACGACTACCCACCGCCGAGATGACACAAGAATCGCAGAAATCACGACACGCCCTGAGCCAGTCCACTGGCTTCAGACTACACTGCACGCTTTTTGGGACTGCGTGGGATGCACGGCTTGGGCCAAGGCCCACGAAGCGCTTGTAGCCCATGGAGCCGACTCGAAAGAGCCCCCAGCAACGACGCCCCAGCGGTGCCACGTAGAAGATGCTCATCACCTCAGCCGCGCTCTCCGCTTTTCTCCCCCCTCGCTCCAAGCAAGTGCTCAGGTGGCAACCCCAACGGCCAAGAAATTCCCGATTGCATAGACCTCAGAGACAGGGGCCCAATACAAGACCTCGAGTGTGTACAACGTCGCAGACCGACGCGAGTGCGCGGAACCATCGCTGACAAGTGCACGGAAGCATACTACTGCGACGTATGCCAGCAGTTTGTTACTGACAAAAGGCTACCTCTCCCGGGTTTGGCCCTGGTGCTATGACGGGCCAAGGTCCAGGCGAAGAAGTTGACGAAGACGCTCTTCATTCCTGCAGATGCACGCAAACCGGCAAAAGCTCTCTTGCAGCATCTGCCTGAGCTGTCCTACTTATCCTACGAGATCAATGCGGAGATATGCCGAGTCCTCGGGACAACACCTGTGGAAGCGTAGCGAACTGCGTCTTGAATTCGGCCAAGTGAACCCCACATGTCTCAGCCAACATCCACTGAAGGTAGATGTATGGCGGCTCCTGCCACAGCTCTCAGGTCTTAAATCACCCAGGCTGGGGCCACGGCTCTGGTAGTAATGATGTGTCCTTGCCCACTTCTCCCACATCCGAAAAATCTCGGATTTCTGTCGGCAGGCAATCAGGATCAAATCCTGACTGTGTCACCTCAAGAAAACCAAACCAGGCGCTGGGCTCAAATTTCTGAAAAAAGCCGCCCTGGGCCCACGACATTGGCACACAACAAAGGCACCTCGCACAGGGACAGGCAGCGGCCGACCGACTTCCCCACACAAGTTCTGTTGTTCACCCGCCTCCTGAGCCCTGCCCAGCACCACTGCGAGGAGCGCAGGCCAGACTGGCCATGCCATCTCTGAGAAATCGGAGACTGATGCCTACACATTCCTTGCTCGATCTTGTTGTGATTGTGTCGATACTGTGCTCCGTTCGCTTGCTCCGACAACTCGTGGCGAGCCTGACTTTGTCATCCAAACTGGGATTGGCCAAAACAGCAACTCGAGCCAAAAGGCGCAGCACGACTGAAGCGCGGCCGAGTCTTCTAAAGCCGGGTGCCCTTGGATTAAGAAGCGGCAATGCACAGTGCGACATGCTCCTGGCGGTCGAATGGAGCTTCTGGCCACATGCATCAGCTTCGAGGAACGAGGCCGCACCGGAAGCAGGACACCCGACTCAGATTCACGGCCCGATGAGTTTTGCTGCTATGCCTCAACGACTGAAAGCAATGGATTTGTGCCATTCGAGATTCATCGTCCCTGAATACCACTTACTTTTTGTCCTCGAATCTCCACAAGATCACCAAAAGACAACTGTGCTTACAGGCTCCAGCCAGGAAACGCTGCAAAATGGCTGGACAGAGTGTTGCGCGGAGGTGACATGCACATCATGCTCATACGAACCCACTCCTGTCCCACCCGAGCCAGATGTAGGCAGCAAGTAGACAGACTACGGTACTCATGCTCCATATGAGCCATCAACTACGCGAGCAGAAGGCCTGCTCAGAAACCATAACTAACACCCAACCTCTGTTGCGACGGCGGGATCGTCCTCGAAAACTATGTACTGTGCCTTGCACAGTTGGTGCACATCCGAGTCCGTCATCAAAGCGAGGATGGCAAGTAAGAGAGACAAGACAGGATGCCTCACCCTCCTGATCCAGCAAGTTGCACACGGTGCGCCCAATCATGTTGTAGCCTTTCACGAGGACCCTCACAAGCCCGCAGGCCCGGTAACGTGGAAGGGACCTAACAGTAGGAGAGTACCAAGTCCCTCGCCGCATATAGCAACGAAGCCGTCTCCGCTCTTGGTGATCTCCTGGACATCGGCAGCTGCTCGCTGATCTTGCCTTCAGCTGGCGGGGGCACAGAAAACCACTGCACAAGTCTGCACTCAAGCATCGTGCCCCTCCAGATTTCGCATACCTCGTCGCTGTCGAAGCCTAGCAAAGAACAGCTCCAGGTCACCACGGCGAACAAATAGATTCGCAAAGCTTTGCAATGCTCCGCAACCTGCGTGCCACCCCATCTGCTCCGGCCGCCAGTAGAGGTGTCAACGCCATGGAAATCACGGAAGTTGTGACCTGCCCACCGGGCAGACTGGGCATTTCTTCCACTCAGCTCTTGTGATGGGCTGAGCGCTCAGCAAGGATAGTCGCCTGGATTTGGCACCGAATGCTACTTGCTGCAAAAGTCACAACGGCACCCCCTTCTGCCAAGAGACTGCATTTGATGGCATGATGCCAACCTTACACGAGGAAGATAAGCCCACGATGGCCATGAACCCTCACAATCTCAAACACTGCCCGAGGAGATGACGTGCTCTGCAAGCCGAAAGAGCACGAGAGCAAACTCCCCACCCGGAGCCAACAGGGCAGAGGCCTCCCAAGCCCACAAAAGGAGGCTCACAACAGGTCTTCCTTTGCCTCAGGCCCTGGCCTGGAGAGAGGAGGCATCGGAGAGGCCATGCCAAAGTCCCAACACGACGACCACCAAAGCCTCCCAAGCTACGACTATATTGAGCCTGGTGCAACTCCAGGCTTCTAGAGGAGATCCTTCAGCACGAGCACGGCCAGCAGCAGCGGCACCACGGTTAGCCAGTGGTGGGTCTTAGAAAGTTGGCACGAACATGTCTTTATTGCTTGTCGAGGTCGTTCGTCCCATGCTACCCGCTACCCGCCTTTTTTAACCTTTGCCCGGTCCACTTTTCGAAGTGTCTAATGAGTCGCAGGGCCCCTGCCAGCACGGACAGGTCGAAGGAGAAGCCCACGGTGACCTTAGCAAGGCAAGGCAGAAAGCATGGAGCTGATGTATCTGGGGCCCGCCGGTATAATTCCTGTTGCCATACCCTTTAACCTTCGTCTGCCTTCCTTTTGCAACAGACCTCGTTGTCCCGCAGCCCGTCTGCCTTCCTAAAATCCGAGCAACAGGCGAAGAAAAGGCCCAGCAGCATGCCTCGGAACGGTGCGATGTCCGCCTGCATCACGAACGAATAAACAGAAGAAGACGCGAAACTGGCTGCACATTGCAGCACACAGCAACAGGCTTTCTCCACACGTTCGGTCCAAGCTCTGTGCACCGAGGTGGAGCCGTCTGGGCTGTCGTCGATGCCCACGGCCCTCGCTGTGAAACGCGGCGGCACAGACCCTCTCCGGCTCCTCAAAGGTGTGAAGATCATGACGAGTCTTGACTTTGGACTCGCTGGGGCAGGGGGAGGGGGGCGAGCGAGGCGAGCGAGGCGAGCGAATGGGCAGGGAGAGGCGCGTTCGCATGCCTCAGCCACAGGATGCGGAATGGACGGCGCCTCCAGACTTGCTGCATTCACGACAGCACGTGTCGAAAGGATTTCCACTCCGAGTTCTTCCAGGCGCAACCTTCCGGCCACAACCGATCTTGCAGAGTCCGGAAGACTCCAGCGGCTTCGCATAGCCCGAAGTTACAGAATCCTTTGGCGGAGCCTTCTGGCAGAAGCGGTCGTGGGCCATTCCTAGGGCACAGCCCTTACAGCAAGTGGTGAGAGGCCGGCCCTTTGAGTCCACTCCAGGTGCGACCTTCAATCCACAACCGTTCTTGCAAAGACCGGGGCCGACCTTCGAAGCATCGATTCGTCCACAACGCAGGTCGTGGCCGAATCCCATGATGCAGCCACGACAGCAGGTCGTGAATTGTCGGCCGGCTCGGGTAACACCGGGAGCCACCCTACGTCCACACCCGACTTTGCAGTAGCCTTCCGGCACCTCGAGCTCACCGCCATCCTCCTGAAGCTGTTGCAGACGCTTTTGCCAAGCTGCACCTCCCAGCTGCCCGATGCTTTCTTTGCGCATTCGCTCCTGTTCCTCGTCCATCCAGGAAAAGCCGAAGCCTTTCTGCTTGCACATGGCTTGGATCCGAGCACCCTCACTTGTTCCTCGATGCCGCGTGTGTGCCACCAAGCGCTCGACGTGCCTGCGGAGATCGACCTCCCCATGGATCTGGGCTTCCTTGTACTTCATCTTCCCCACTTTGTCCGAATCTCCCAGGAGGGCTGCATCCTTGGACGTGGCCACCTTGATGGTCTCTGAAAGCTCCGCTACATCGTACTGCAGCAGAACATGGGCGTAAAAGTCCAGCACCGCCAGCTTGTCCCCCTTGAGATTTGCAGAATCTTCTGGCGAGAAAGTACATCGGAGACGCACGTCCTTTAGAATGAGATACGAGTCACCATATTGTGCACACCTAACCACTCCCCGATGGTCGTTCATGACGTTCTGCACTCCATATTTCGGACGGTCTTTTCCAACACTCCCATCCTTGGAATGTTCGCATCCAAGACTGCAACAAAACAACACGTGTCAAAGATCCATGCACGCTCGGCACAAAGCGAGTCTTTGCAAGTGCACACGCCGAGTCTCGTAGGAACCACCGAACAAGTCCCTCTCCCATTTTTCTCGTGTGGCCGGCTTCAACAGCCCACCAGATGTGTTTGTCTCGAACTGGTTTCGGTAGTGAGTATCCTTTCACAGACATCTGCAAGTAATGAGGGCCTTCACAAGTGGTACAGCTTTCAGCACGCTTGAGTGGCTGTTAGATTTCTCTCCGCGTCTCTGCAAGGAAATGCTTCATGCCTTTATACTATATGCCTTTCCTTCTCCATGAACGGGAGCATCTTATCCAGATTGAGGTGAATGATGACCTGACGCTCGGCGTGACCCAACATGCCGACGGTACATCTGATCGACGAATCATTGGGCACACAGAAAAACCAAATGCTTCGAATTCTTCGTTCATGCTGATGGGAACGGGCGTGCATTATGCAGTGGGTCACATTCCTCATGCAGGACGGGGTGGGTCATTTGTGGTGCATACATAGTATACTTCCAAACCGTGCTTCACCCAGAAAGCCGCAAAAGAGCCAGGTGGCTGGGGCCAGCTCGCGAATCCAGGCCAAAGTTAGCCAAAGATCGTCTTCCTGAAAACGAAGACCTCGCTTCATCAAATTACACTACAATTTACTGGAAAACTGGCATGTACAACGACTAACTACACCGGTAGGAGTGTTTTTTGTTGCTGTTGCTGCATTTTTTGCTGTTGCTGCGGGTTTTTGCTTTTTGTTGTTGCTGCGGGGGGGTGT